AAACATGTCCTGCGTTTCGTAAATAAATATTTCTAGATGTTTGTGTAGCAACCAGATAGGTGAAGATTTGCAATAAATTAGTTATAAACACATGATAAATATTATATTTATGACGAAAGCACGTAAACTTAAAGTAACACTAAATGAAACTCAAAAACAAACAAATATCCTACTTATAGGTGACAAATTGCAGGCGCGAGAAAATTAATTTGTAGCCTGAATAGAGTGGTAATTCACTGTATGCAGGTTTGTGTACAGACTGGTGGCGCATAGTTTGAAGATTTGTTGTAGGTATTTGTCTTCTACTTATCCGTTTTTAATATTTGAAGTACCTAAACCTTGTTTTTAAAATGTTTGTTATTAGTTTTATGGTTTAGACCATGTATGAGCAACCTTTGCTTAGCTGAGGGTGTAATTTCCGGATTTAATTAGGTCGCGGGCTGTAGGCAAGAAATAAGTAGGTAGTAGTGAATAAAAGAGCGACAAAAATTCACACAATTTCTTAATTAAAATAGCATAATGATTGTACTCAAACATATAAAAATACTGTGACACTCGGGGACTGCTGCGGTAAAGCTATTGCATAGCATTTTTTATCAACTTATATAATTATAATTATTTATTTATTTTATTTATGCAGTATTTTTTTTTTCTTTGAAATATCAAAGAAAACAACTTGAATTAATAAATTCAATTTTTTTTCTTCGATATTAATTTAAGTTACACTTTTTGAGCGTGGTGACCGATAAGAAAACAATTTTTTTTCTTTTATTGAATAAACGAGAAGTTAATATTGTTAATAAGTTTGATACTTGATATCCTCTAAATATCTGGAATATACCGCGTCAATGGTAGTCCCATATTTTGTTGTGGATTCTTGTGGATCATTATTCATTTTCAAATTCAATTTTTCCGAAATTGTGTCTAAAAGACCTAGAATGAGTTATGAGCAGTTAGCAGCTAGTCTACACGCATACGTCTAGTCGCACGCATACAAACACCGTGCGAAGTCTGCCGAACTGAAACGACGTTAGACGATGCACGGCTTTCAACGCCGCACCGCTGTGCCGGTCGGAGTTGGAGGTTTATTGTCGTTACGGAATTTCTTTTTCGATTTTTCGATATTTCGATTTTGCGAATATTCGATTTTTCGATTTTTCGATATTTCGATTTTGCGAATATTCGATTTTTCGATTTTTCGATTTTTCGATTTTTCGATTTTTCGATTTTTCGATTTTTTGATATTTCGATTTTTCGATTTTCTTTTATTGAATAAATGTTAATATTGTTTAACGCTGTGCCGGTCGGAGTGGTGGGTGTTAGGTTTTTTTTCGTTACGGTTTCGTTTTTTTCTTGATTCGGTCGCCGCGCTCAAAGCCCGCGATAAAAGCTATGCAATAGCTTAAAAGAAAGTTAATAAAAATACGTGTGGCACTCGGGGATTGCCGCGGTAAAGCTATTGCATAGCATTTTTTATCAACTTATGCAATTATAATTATTTATTTATTTTATTTATGCAGTATTTTTTTTCCTTGATATTAATTTAAGTTTTTTCTTTGATATTAATTCAAGTTATACTTTTTGAGCGTGGTGACCGATAAGAAAACAAATTTTTTTCTTTTATTGAATAAATATTGTTTAAAATATTTTTATTTTCTTACAATACATGTAGGTTATTCAAGAATTGTTATCATTGAAACTATAGGTGGTCAATAACACTAGTACATAGGCTCAAAGTGTTTTCTAAATATTTGTAAGCCGAGTACGATGCTTATTTTTATTAATTTTCATGATTGAAAAAAGCTGCTCACATTTATACATGCTTCCAAATGTGCAAATCATTTTTCGTAAGAAAACTCTCCGCTGTGGGTACTTTTCTTTGGTAAGGTGTGTTCTGTAAAATTCGTTTAGTTCCACATGATCAAATTTATATGAGTCTTCTTGAAGCTCGTTCAACTCCATTTGTAGGTGAAGCGGAGCATCTTCCACATTATACTTAAAAGTAGGGTTGCCACCTCTTTGAAAAGTTAAAAAAGGATTACGATGCTGACAGGGGCTCTGGTGTACAAAAAGTCCTCATATTCTGATGCCTTGGTAGGATTCCCCACTCGACCATTCACTGTTGGGTTCTAATTAACAGTGCTGTTCCTAAAGTGGCGCTGGGAAACAGTAACAAAGCCTACATAGAACACGAGTTTAATGACCTTAGCAGTTGATGCCGATGACATCAAATTAAAAAAAAAGTCCTCATCCTTCTAGTGAACTTCTAAAAAAAAGGTCGTCGAGCTGAACAAAAAAAACCAACAAGTCTCCTCGTCCTGTACAAAAATACTTTTGTACAAACCATGCCCCTTCCAAAAATAGTGCTTTTAGTCAAAAAATCCATTTGTCGTAGAAAAGAAAAAGAAGACATTTTCCGTAAAAAGGACATTTTAAGCTTTAAAAAGTCACAAGGACATTTTGCTTCAGAAAAGGACTGTCCTGTTCAAAAAAGGACAGGTAGCAACCCTACTTACAAGGATTTTCAAAAATATTCTTAAAATTGGAAAATCGATCAGTAAATTGCTCCGACAGTAGTTTCAATTCTTCAGCATAACGACCGTATTTAATGTTTTCGTGACTGGATAATATTGAAAAATGAAAATAGTTTTTACTTCTCATTTGTGTTTCCCACAAGCGAATTTTGTTTTGAAAAGCTATAAGATGACTGTACAGCTGATTTACCAATTGCCTTTATTTTTGAAGTTTCAAGTTCAGGTTGTTTAAGTGTCCTGTGATGTCTACCAGGAATGCCAAGTCACAAAGCCAGGTTGTATCACAAATTTGCGGCAATGTTTTCTCTTTCATTTTCATAAAATCAGCTATTTTTTTTCTAAGGTCATACAATATTTTTATCATTTTACCTTTGCTTAGCCACCTTACTTCTCAATAACATGTCACATCATCCTGTTCTGAAGAAAGTTCATCAAAAAATGCTGTAAATTGGTTAAGACCTCAGGGTCTAATGAAATTAATGGTATTTAGGGTCCGATTACAATTAGAAGAATACATCTACGTCATAACCATTACTTCAAATTTCGAATATATATTATCTATAACTACCAATAAATAAAAAACAAGTAAGTTGTTAGGTATAAAAAATATTTCCTATATTCCTATAATATTAGCACTCCACTAAACCCCCAGTAGGCTCGATAACCAATTAATTACTTTGCCAAATGATGACGTAGCTGTGTTCTTCTAATTGTAATCGGACTCTACTACCACATCCATAACATTCTTTAATCGAATGGACTTAGAGCACAAGTTTTGTAGGTGAATAATGCAATGCAGAATTATTAAATCACATTCTTGCATATCATAGCGCTTGCTCTTTCCTTCAAAATTCCGATAAAACCTTTTCGTGAACTGACTATTGAAGACGCACACTCCAACTAATGTACACCACTGCAAACCATATTGCTCAAAAGTACTTTGCACCTCGGCAAAAACATCTTTTCCAGTAGTGGTCCCTTATAGCGGCCGTAAAGCCAGTAATTCCTCTATCACTGCAACTTCTTCATCAACACCTCGTACAAAAATAGCTCACTGGGCTGTGTCAGATAAATCTGTACTCTCATCCAAAACAATCAAAAATGCTTGAAAACCAGCTAATGTATCAGTTAATGTTTTTTTGATATCACTAGCCATCATATCTATAAGTCGAATAACAGTACGTTGCGATAAGCTCACTTTCTCAAACTCTTTCTTCCCTTCTGGGCAAAAAAGTTCTGCATCATCTGCACTCTTTAACAAACGGTTCCTCAGAAAATGACTTCGATGTTTTCGCTATTTTGGAACTAATTATAAAACTTTAACAACACTGTCTAGATTTGATCTTTGTGAATGGAACATTTGTTGCTGTTTCCCTAAATCGGTAATGAGTTTTTTTAATTTTATCTTTTCTTAACTGGCCCATGAGTGAATTATATTAAGCAAAATGCTTGCTGGAGTAATACCGCCTCATATTGTATTCTTTTAAAACAGAAATTGTTTCATTGCACAACAAACAAATAGGTTTACCACTGCGCAAGATAAAAAAGTATTCAATAGTCCATTTGTCTTGGAATTGAGGACATTCTGTGTCCACTTTCCGCTTGAACCAGACATGTTTTTAGCTTGAATATTTCCCGCGTCGTACTCTCGATCGTACGTGAATATGCGATGCTAACTTTATCAGTTGTTAAGAAGTAATGAGATGACGCGCGCTGAACGGTTTATATATTACCTCCAATAAGCAACTAGAATACTTTAGATTGTACGCGAGCGCTTCAAGCGCATCGGGCGGCTTTCCGAATGTTTATCTGTTTATTTCTTTCTAACGACTATTTCTGACACGATCTGTGGCATTCCACTGCGTACGCTTAATAATATTATTTATCGATTTTAGTCATTATGAGTTGAAGAAAACAGTGGCATTCCACTGCGTACGATTAATACAATTACAAATAAACTATGTATGCTAACTTTTTGCGCATTATTTGAATTTTCTGAATCTCTCGCGGGCCGGATTGAAGTTGGTGGAAGGCCGGATCCGGCCCGGGGGGCGGCGTTTGCCCATATATGGTTTAGACAAAATTTATTGTTTGTTAATAAATAAGAAATGTATATTGCCATTTAAAAAAGTTAACTTCTAAATGACCTTGAAGGTCACGAGCGAGAGAAAATCAAAGAAAGAAAATCAAGTTACTTTTACTTTTTCTGCTAAAAATACAATACAAATAGCCTGTAAGCTAAAAGCTGGGAGACTCTGTATACCAATTCATAATAATCATTATTCTGAGTTCAAATTAAAAATCAGAATTATTCATTGTTTTGACTTACAAGTGAGAAAAATCGATATTTCTGAGCACTAAGTCGGAATAATAATAAAAATTTTGTGGCCCTTCTACGCTTTCGTATACTCGTATAAGCAATACATACCTACTTAAATTTAAAAATAAATTTACATTTGAACTTACCTCGTCAAATTCTTCATCAACATTTATTTCCGACTTTTCTACGGATACTGTCACAAAATGAAAATCAGCTAAGCTACCTAGCCTTAAAATTGTCACAACCATTTGAATAGTCCAAAGCAAAAGTGTTAAAATAAAAGAATAATAGCATAAAATGTAGTCATCCCAAAAATCACTTAAGGTCAATTTTCCTTGGAATGTAAAAAGAGATATATAACGCGAGCACCTGAAAAATAAATTTAAACTAATTACCTATCTAAAATAACTAGCGGATTTTTTTTAGTGGACGCTTTAGCAAAAAAGCTGCGAACAATTTTCTGTAGTTTCGAAATTATTGAACAAAGAAAACCTAGTTTTTGGAATTCATTTTATTCTTTTAAATAAACACACTGTGCATAAATTTAGGACAAATTTCGAATATAAATCAAATTTAATAGGCAAATTTTCACCCCAAAGCAAGATGGGCGTTTTTACAGAAGATTTATGGAATTGGAACCGCTCTAACACCAAAAAGTTTTAACAGCAAAATGGCTGAAACAGTTGAAGACCTTTTTATAAAAATGACACATGCCCAAAATCAGCTTTTTCAGGGAAACAAAAAACATTATACCAGTCTCTAGGTCTCTAGACTTTGCATTAACGCTCTATATTTAACAGCGAATTTTTCTGTTTATGTATTTATTATCTTTGTAGAAAATCAACATGTTTGCCGGTAAATACAACACCACTAATTGTCACAGTTAACTGAATTCGGGCATTTTTGGATATGTGTTGAGTTTGAAGAGTCTTCAATTGGACAAATTACATTAGGAGAGAAAGGTCAACTGGTAACCATGTGCTGTTTGTTACTGCAGTGGAAAAAACGGTTCCACCGGCATATATTTTTTCCAGACTTCTTGATATTATAGGATAATCTGAACTTTGGAATAGTTTAATACTGGGGCATGCAAGCGAGTGGGCCACAGGAGAGAATTTTGTGAAAGCTTTCCATCACTAGAATAGTTTTCGTTAGTACTGTGACTGTGAGACATGTAGCTTCCCTGGCTTCGATCATTTCAGATCTATTGTGAATATCCTTTAATCGTTGTTTAGAGTACCTTGTTTAGTTTGGTATCTTGTAGTAGACTCCATAGACTAGGAAGTAGCTCTTCGGCTTAGCTAGTTGCCCTTGATTTTATTTTCAAAATGTTAAGGAATCTCAGTCTTAGTAGACCTTTGCAGTGGCGCAATACGTGTACTTCCTGGCAGAATAGACACAAGGTCTCTTCTACCAGACCGATGTTATACCCGAGAATAACGATCAAGGAGAAGCGACAGCTTGGTATTTTTAGTGTACCGTTTTGTAACGCGCATGTGCGAAAATAAGTTGTGTATCACTCAAAATGATGTTATCTGTCAAAGTCAGTCCAAGTTGTGTGTAGTACGTGAGCAATGTTAAGTGATATTTTGTGGTGTTTGTTTTATGTAGTAATAAGATGAAGATTTTTACACACTTAGGTATTCTAATGCAGATATAAAATGTGCCAAAAAAGTTACTAGGAAACTAAGAATTTTATCACATGCATAAATATTAAGTATAATGATTTAATCATTTTTCACATTTTATTTTTCATATGTAGGTATTGTATTTTGTGAAATATATGTTTTCTTCTTTTAAATAAATTTAATAAACAATGAACTGGAGATTTTGTTTATTTTATTTTGAAATTATATTTAAAAAAATATAATAAATCCGCGTGTTTCAATTAGGATTGGTCAAAATGGGCCAAATCCCTTTATTATGGCTAAATTGTAAGGTCAATATAAAGATGTTTTGCCCATTCATATTTACATTTATTGAATGAATCATACTTGAGTTGTTTTTTTAAATATTGGTACATACTTAAATAATTACTATTTCAAAAAATTCGTCTATGCCCAGACAGCACATATAGTCCAATGTACGTCCACTTTAGATCTATTTGAGGGTCAGGACGTCCATATCCGGGCATCCAGTGTACGTCCGTTTATGCTAATTAAATTGACAGCTGAATATTGATACCCAGAGAACGTCTGTTTTTGGACTTAATTTTAAGTTTAGTAGTATTTTGACGTCCAGTGGACGTCCATCTTAGGTCATTATTTATTAAGCCTACCAGATAATACTCATCTATAATATATACTTCTTTTTTTAATATTACTGGTCATTAAAAATTGACAAATTGATTTTATTGCATTTCATTCTATCAGCGGAAGTTTGAAATCTTATTCAATTATAACTGTATCTAGTAAATAGTTTTCAAGTGGTTCCTTGGTCGAGCTCGTCTAGCGATTGAAAGGGTAAAACGATAATGGATGTGTCGTGAGTTCGATGCCTGCTCAGGTCAAGCGATTTTTAATACAAAAAATAAATGGTGTATAGCGATTTGCGAAAATAATAAACAAATTATTAATAATATAAAATAGTGTGTGGTAAGTTGCGATTCTGTAAAAAAAGTGGGGATGTGGTATCAATGGAAATATAATTCTGGACGTTTTTTGAATGTTCAGTATTCGACGTCCAAATATATTCCAGAATTGAACGTCCTCTGAATGGTCAAAAGTGTGCCATTTTTATACTTCACTGGACGTCTATAGGATGTCGGAAGTCCAGAAAAAACTCATTCTTGGACGTCTAGACATCCAAAATTGTATATCATATGTCCAATGGACATATTTGTATTGTCTGGGTGATAGCCAGGCCAGGTATTTAACTCTAAATACATAAACCTTAAATGACATCTGGCTTAACTTGGCGAGAAAACACTTGTTTATACAGAAATGAGTGATAAACTTGAAAGTCCTTTTAATATAATATAAATCCAGAAATTCTAAAAATATGTAAGTACTTTTTAAATCTAAAAGTTTTTGAAAATATAAACACATTGCAAATATTTAGTTAAATATCTCAAACTTAATGTCTTTTTAATTGTTACCTAATTTTTTATTGGCACCCTTAATTTTATTTACCTTATTTTTACTTAAGGAAAAGGTAATTTAATTTAAATATGGGGCTTTTATTACATTTTTAACAATAAATAAACCAAATATTGAACAAATTTTATAGATAAATTATAAAATCATAAACGTCTTTTACTTTTATAATAAATAATTAATTATTACATAGTGAATTATATTTTGGTGCCGAAATTTCACCATTGCTATTAACCCTAACTACTTCAATGTAATTAAATCACATTACAACATTTGCGCATGGACTATAACAATGATTTCAGATAATTTGCCAAACTATTTCGCTCAGTGTAGAAAATAAGCATGTTTTCTCAGCGTGCTAAGTTGTGTATCAATCAAAGTCATGCTGTGAAAAAGGTACATCTGATATCAAAGGCACCGACAGCTACTGTCGCTTCTCCTTGATCGTTATTCTCGGGTTATACATATAACAATATTAATAATACTCCCCCTAATTCACCCACTTACGAGTGAATTTTTACCCCAAAAGCTAAGCATGTCCAGGGAAGGGACGCCTATTATTATTTGCCGTTGCGCTTAAAGTGCCATTTGAGTGCCATTTGACTTACAGGCGAGGAAAACCCGGAAAACCCGACCCACCATCATCCAAACGATAACGCATGGCGATTTTTATAATCTGGATGTCATATCAACACAAATTAAATTAAATTTCTGATAATACGGCTTTCATCAAATCCTGTATATAACCATGAAAATAAATTCACATGGTCTTCTGTAGGATTCTAAGCCAATGAATGCGAGCGCGTTAGACACCTATGCCATGGATCAGATATGTTTGTTAAATCTACAATGCTATGCTAATAGACTAGTACTTTGTGCACGTTCTGATATCTGACTGTGTGATACTACAGTTCTGGGTCAATAAGAGCTTCTAGGCTCCTTGTTGGTCTAGTTAATCAGCCTCTTCATTGTCCGTATGTCTTCTGTGGCCTGGTACCTAGGTTGTTTTGACTTCTCACCTCTGTTAGAGCTTTCAAACACTCCCACACAAGATTTGAGTGTACCAGCATGGAAATGAGTGCGTTTAACGTAGCTTGAATGTCTGAGTAGATGACAATGGTTTTTCATTTACCTTATGTCTTAATATATCTTTTGCGCAGTGATGTATTGCTGATATTTCAGCCTGGAATATTGCCGCATGTTTACCTAAGCTCAATAAGATTTTTTTCTTTTTCTTTTCTATATATACCTACTCCTGAACCTTCATGGGTTTTGCAGTCATCTGTATGCCAGGTAATTTCTGCGTGAATAGGAGGCCCTCCTGTCCACGCTTTCCGTCTGGTATACTTACTTTATATTGCTTTTGAAAGCTATATTTAGGGAGCATTTGTCTGAAGACATTTCCATTATTTGGTCGTTCTCCAACTCTTTGTATAGCTCGTTGTAGTCACATCCATGCAAATTGCTTATGAGTTATGGACTTTTGTGCAGTATGCTTGTGACGGAATAGGCTTCGCCTTGAATGAATATGTGTAGTGCTGTTACGTTTAGCACAGATATAACAGGAGATATTGATTGATAAAATATAATATTCGTGACGCCGATATCGATACCACATAATAGGTAAGTGTCGATACGGTCTAGTTGTAGATCAGGAGTGAAGATAGATATGGTGTAAGGTATAGGAAGGGATAAACTAAAGGATTTGACGGCCGTACAAAATAATTTTATCAATGAATATTATGTGTAAGCCGTTGTACGCCCATAATAAACAACGTACCAAATTCAAGCCATGTTGCCACATCTAGTACAAAATACTTGATATCCAACTTGACATTAACTAGGTTTTGTAATTTCTTGAAAATTATTACATCTAATTTAAATTTTTTTGGATTTAGTTGCATTAAAATAGGTTGAATTATTTAAGCTTTTTAAGAAATAATTTGGACATTTGGGCACATTTATCTCTGCAAAAATTTAACGTCTGTGAAGAGTATTATAGGTTTATTTTGTCCGTTTGTTCGATGTCACGTTTTTTGTCCGCAAGATAAGTCAAAAACATGAAAATATTAGAAAAAAGCAAGAAAACTATTGATTTTGAAAAAATCTGAATAAAAATGGGGGTGAAATATTGAAAAAAATATCAACTTAAAATTTTTAGCAAAAATCAAGCTTTATAAGGGGACAAAGCGTAGTGATTTTGATAAAAATTAGAAAAAAACAGGGGAGGGTTAAAGGGGTTGAAGTATAAAAAAAATTAACCCAAAGCCGAAA